TTGAATTATTTATTTGATTGTCATCTATTAATCTATAAAACCAACCTTTTCTTGAACGTGTTGATGAAGGTAAATGGATATCAGCAAGTCCTCGTTTAAATATTAATATGTAATTTTCCTAATAATTATAAACTTATGTTTGATAACCTTCCACGAATTAAAATTAATATATTATATAAAACATTTACCTGGGTAATAAGAAGTAGTATATTACCATTAGCATTAACCTCGGCCCCTACAACTTGAAATGGCAATTCTTCAATAAGTGGTAAGTATTCACTACGAACTATATAAGCTTCTTTACTATAAGAGTCTTGTTTAGAATCTGATGTAGATGTCGCATTACTATAATCAAAGGTGAATAAAATGTCATTCAAAGCAATGCATATCGTTGTCATATTACGTGCTGTCACTATTTAAAAAAATTAAGGTTGGAATTAAATAATTAAACAAAAAAAAAGCAATAATTATCAATTATAATTAGTTACAATAATTATTATAAGAATTATGAATTATAAAATTTACCAACAATTGGTTTTGGAATTGCAATAGGTGGTGTGGGAGCTATACCAAAATCAAATTGTTCGTATTCTGTTCTCTTGGGTGAACTTTGAGTATACTACTTAAGAAAAAAGATAAATTATATATATCATGTAAATTAATTATAGATGATATTATATATTATTATTGTATTAAAAGTTCTACCGAAATTAATTTTTTAATTCGCCAGCTGGAATCATCAACGGACGAAGAATTATGAATAACTGTCACTTGAAAAGTCCATGATTCTTCATCTGCTGTTATTTCTGCATTCATAACACGAATAACGCCAGATCTTTTCAGGATAAGGTAATAATAAAATTTAATTGCAACTTCGATATACTAAGTTATGTTAAAAGAATATACTCACGCAGCATACACACGACGATATGCCAAAGATTTTCTCTTCGATGGTTCTTCTCGTGCGATTCCTATAATATAAATTTTTCATAAAGTTAAATGTTCAAAATATTTTACCAAGTCCGCTTAATTTATGTTAAATACTGACTTTGAATTGGTCCTGATTCACCAGACTTTATAATTAATACTTCATTTTGACGCTTGCCATTTTCAAATATATTTCGAGGTATTTTAATTGTCCGAAACTTGGCATTATCTGGATACCTACGAAATTTGGAGAACAACGTTTCTTACGGGTTACATCTTTATACATGTATACGTGTACTTAATATAATGAATATAAAAAAAAATGATTACCTTGAATATAAAATCAAAGATTCCTCTACATGAAACGATTTAATTTTTGTTGTACCAGGCATAATTAAATCTTGATATTTAAATGATGGATAGTTGTGACATGTATGAGAAGGTTTCTTACACTCTAATAATGAATAATAGTAATTATACATAAATTAAATTGTAAGTATAAACAAAAATGAAAATAAATAATAAAAAAACTAACCATCATAATCAAAGTCAGAGCTTCCTGATTCAAAACTTCCTATATTGTATAATCTCAAAACATATTGAATTTCTTCTTGTTCTTGTTTTTGATATAATACTGCTAACGCATTATTTTCATCAAAACCATAATTTGATGTAATATGGATATTTTCATGATAATAACTTGAAATATGTGTTATTGGGCCTTCCAAACGATGAATATAAAGAAGTTGCCATTCTATAAAATTAACAAAAAAATATTAGTACTAGCTCTTAATATCCGTCAGGGATCTATGTTCACCGAATCAAAGAAAATTATACATACTATTATTTGGATCAATATTATTATTAGATGATAGAAGTAGATGTAATGGACGTCTATATTGTTTAATGAGCCCTACAAGAGCATAAGGATCATTTCTAATTCATATAATAAATAGTTATTTGTATCGCCATTTTACACATACCAGTAGCATCATCATAATCTGATCCATATCCTTTCCATATAGCTGTTAAATAAACCCAATCATTTTGCGCACAAATGAATATCCCGTCAGGTTTATGAATTTCATAACCAAATATTACATCTCTTGTTAATATTATATTTCGAGGATAAGGAAGAGGTGCTTTATGTAATGATATTATCCAATATATAAATGTTATGCCCACTGCAAACATAATCAATGGACGATATCGTGTCATTATTGGTTAACTGTCTAATTTAATAACAAGTTTAATCAAAAGTAATTTCGGTATTATTATTAATCGACAAAATTTTAATTCCTGAAATAGAACTAGTAGAAACTATTTTAAATCAGGGATTTCCGATGAATTATACTCATTTATTAGATAATTTCAATCTCCAGAATAGGTAAACATCTCAATTTTATACGCACAATCTTTAAATTGTTAAATTGTTTTGATATTTTTCATTCGAAAATGCGGAAAAATGCGGAACTTTAAAGAAATGGAACTCGCAACGAATTTATATAAATCATTTTGTCGATCAATTACACGTAACCATTCATGTGACTGATTCTTAACCTGTAACGCACTAACGCTATATATAAAGGCTACATTTGACAAAGTTTTACAAATTTTAGCCACTAGTTAATAATTACACATATATATACATGCTATATATATTATTTTACGTAGCCAAATTTATTTTTTTTTTATTCGGTTATGTCAATATTTATCCACTTTCAAATAAATAATTCAG